GAATGCCTTCTGTTTTCCACTTAGCTGGCCCTGATGATTAAACTGCTTCTGTTGTTTGCAAATTTGCTGTTCAGTGGCATTCGCTTTTTGGCAGTGGGCAAGGAAGACCCCCATCCAGCCTGACAGATGTAACTGTCCTCACTTCACTACCACCGCACGAAGACCCACGACCGCCCGTGACAGTATTTTAACTGTCCTCGACTTCACTAACACGGCAGCGAGACCACGAGCCGGCGACAGTATTTCCTTCACTTCCACTATACACGTCGAAGACACGAGCACCGTGACGCAGTATTTCCTCAATTTAACTACCACGCACGAAGACCACGAGCGCCGTGACAACGTAGTTTCCTCACTTTAACTAACACGCACGAATGACCACGAGCCGCGACAGTTTCCCTCATTTAAACTACCACGCACGAGACCACGATGCCGTGACAGTTAATTCCTCACTTATCTACCACGCATGAAGACCCACGAGCCGTGACAGTATTTCCTCACTTAACTAACACACGAAGATCCACGAGCCGTGAACAGTATTTCCTGCTCACTTTACTACCACGACGAAAGACCACGAGCCATGACAGTATTTCCTTCACTTCACTCAACACGCACGAAGACCACGAGCGCGCGACACGTATTCCTCACTGTACTACCACGCACGAAGACGCACGAGCCGGCGACAGTATTTCCTCACTTAACAACCACGCACGAAGACCACGAGGCCAGGCGGACAGTGTTCCTCACTCTAACTAACACGCACGAAAGAACACGAAGCCGCGACAGTGTTTCTCTCTCTTATACTACCACGCGACGAGACCACGAGCCGTTGGGAACAGTGTTTCCTCACTTAACTAAACACGCACGAAGGACCACGAGCCGTGACGAGTGTTTCCTCACTTAACTAACACGCACGAAGACCACGAGCCGTGACAGTGTTTCCTCACTTAACTAACACGCACGAAGACCACGAGCCGTGACAGTATTTCCTCACTTAACACGCGTGAACACAAGCCGTGACAGTATTTCCTCACTTAATTAACACGCGTGAACACCACGAGCCGTGACAGTATTTCCTCACTTAACTAACACGCGTGAACACCACGAGCCATGACAGTATTTCCTCACTTAACTAACACGCGTGACCACCACGAGCCATGACAGTATTTCCTCACTTAACTAACACGCGTGAACACCACGAGCCGTGACAGTATTTCCTCACTTAACTAACACGCATGAAGACCACGAGCCGTGACAGTATTTCCTCACTTAACACGCGTGAACACCACGAGCTGTGACAGTATTTCCTCACTTAACTAACACACGTGAAGACCACGAGCTGTGACAGTATTTCCTCACTTAACTAACATGCATGAAGACCACGTAAGCAAGCACTGTATTAGGCACAAGGGGCACAAACAGTGGGCAACAGCGGGTGTCTGCCCCCAAAACTTCTCAGCTAGCATTCTCCACATAAGCGCCAATTCCACAGTTACGAACTGTAATGCGTGCCGGGAAGGAAAGGCCTGTAGGACGGTATGTGAGCTGTGGCTTTGAAAGGCTTGATAGACGTAGGAGTGAGATTTGCAAAATGAATAGGTGTTAACTAGACAAAAGAAAGATGAGTGGGAAGGGGAAAGAAGCATTTCAGGCAGAAGAAACAGCACATGCAAAGGGTGGGAAAGAACAGGGCTGTTGGCAGAAGGTAGAAGCCAGCAGAGGACGGAAAGGAGGTCCCCATTGGAGAAGCCAGGAAGGTGAGCCACGCTGGGTCCCATCTCCACCCTGAGAAATAAAAAAAAGAATTAACTGACTGAACAGACCCCCCGTTGGCCAAAGGGACCCCAGAGAAACCCTGGAAACCGAGTTCTAGACCATGACGGGACGGGCAGTTGGTCGTGCCTCACTCTCCCCCTCCCTCACTCACTGTCATCACGCTTTCTTCCCCACCAGCGAACCAGACACTGCCTCGAAAAATATATATATACACGTATTTAGAAAAAAACAAAAAAATGCTACCACTGGAGAAAACCGAGTGAAAGGGACATACGACCTGTCTGCATTTTTGTTTCTGCAACTTTCTGTGAATCTATAACTATTTCAAAATAAAAAGTTAAGTACTCCAATTACATATTCAGTGTCTACTATATATTGTAATACAAAGAACATTCACTTGTAAAGAGACACATAAGTAGAGAATAAGTACAATCCTAGTAGAATAGTTCAGAGGACAGAATCATTAACTCATCAAATTACAAATAAAAAATACACTTACACCGTGTGTGTTGTACACAGAAAAGTAAATGTTCTTTTTTAAAAAACTTAGTTTGATTGTTAGTCAACTGGAATAAATGTATTAATTGAAATGAAGTTATATGCTTATTCTCTTAGAAAATACTTGCTTTTCAAAAAATAACACATTTGAAAAAATAAATACCATACAAACTGATTTTCTTTTAAAGTTATATGTAAAGTTATTTTTAAAAAATAAACAATGTCTCAAAATTAAAATTGAAACTTAAAAATGCTTCCTGGTCAAGATTTTCTTCTGTAAATATTGCTTTGCCAGTCGCGGCCATGATAACCAATACTGAATTACAGTGTTCCCTGGTATACATGGGGGAACTGGTTCCGGGACCCCCTAAGGATACCAAGATCTGTAGATGCGCAAGTCCCTGCTGTGAAATGATATGGTATTTGCATACAACCTATGCACATCCTCCTGTATCCTTGAAATCACCTCGTG